CTTTCTTTCTTTCTTTCTTTCTTTCTTTCTTTCTTTCTTTCTTTCTTTCTTTCTTTCTTTCTTTCTTTCTTTCTTCCTTCCTTCCTTCCTTCCTTCCTTCCTTCCTTCCTTCCTTCCTGCCTGCCTTCCTTCCTTCCTTCCTTCCTTCTTTTTGCCCATATCCAGCGACTCTGGGCAACTTAGTTTCTCTCCCTTCTGAATGCTTTCTATAAATTTTATCTCCATTCTCCAATCCACTCTCCCCTAAAAACTGAGATAACTCAGAGGCACTTTTAAAGAAAGAGAGATCCGTCGGTAGTCTTTATTTATCTTTCTTTAAAAACTCTCCTTCTATCACGTAACTGTCTGTCATAGCAACTACCCTTTTATTTATTTATTTATTTATTTATTTGCAAGTCCCAGCAGAAAATGACACAAATGCACATACTGAAAAACACGGATTATCTTTGGGGACAGTACTAGCCATATGCACAGAGCAAGAATATGGAGAATTTTGGTTACTCCACAGCAACTTAGGAAGCAGAACACTGATTTTATAGTATCTTTGCTCTATATTGTTGGTCAACTGATTGGTGCTTAGTTTTCAATTTTTTTGAGACTGCCAGAGTGGGAGACAACTGTGGGTGATTTCAAACTACTTTGTGAGAATGTAGGAAATAAATATAAAGATAGTGCCAATGTTATATAAACGAATGGCTTTTTACTTAGATTTGCCACATAATTACCTTCTTGAAATTTGTAATGCTCAGTGACATCCTTTGTTTTATTTGAACCCACTTCCTTAGTCAAAATTAATGTTCCAATCTGGGTTTTGTCAATATGTTGAATCACTTTAGTCCCATCCTTCATTGCTTTTGAATATATAACATCACTGTTCACCTTTAAAAAAAACATAAGGGAAAAAAAATCAAATGTGTTGCTGATTGGCTCAAAATTCAATAGGTTACTGCCTCTCAGATTTTGGGCCACAATTGAATTCTGATCACATTTTGAGAAATTTGGCAAAAATCTCTCCATGGGTAATCATTTGAAAATTCATCGCTCTTTTAATGCTACAGTCCTAATAAGCTTTCTTTTTCCCTAGGGGATGGTTTCAACTAGATTTTTACCAGCCTTGTGACTAGATTATCCAATGCCTCTTGATGCAAATTTTCTTAGGAGATTTCCTTTTATATCTCTGCAAGGGTTACTACTTTGGGCAGTAGTTCATGCAAAGATGTAGTCAGCAGGCGAAATGAACGTGCAAACTTCTCTGAAAATGGCATTTTAAAAATTCTTACAACTGCTAAATAATTTATGAGAAACAATTCATAGTTTAGACGAGGGCCCACTTAAAACTTCACTTCCACATAGAAAATATATTATCCTGGAGGTTTTATTCTGTGCTGAATATAGGTAGCTCTCTCTCTGGGAACAGGATTTTTGTTGCTAAAAGTGACACGATCGTAAAGTGCCACGTCAGATGACCAGCCCACTTTTAACAGAAATTTTGCCATTCTCAGTTGCTCTCATTAAGCGAATCCCATGCCATGCAACATCACATGGTTACCATTTGAGACTTCCTACCAGCTTCCCCATCGCTTTGCTTGTCAAAATCTGGCAAAGTAGATTGCAAATGATGATTATGGGATTATGGGATGCTGCAACATTGCAATTACAAAGATGGTCGCCAAGTACTTGGCTACAATCATATGATCAGGGTTGCTGCAATGGCCGTAAATATAAGAACTGGTTGTATGTACCACTTGTTGTTACCACTATAGTCACTGAACAAAGTGGTTCTTAGACAAGGATCTACCTTTGCACTATGAAATAGTATTATGCTATTTACTGTATACTAGCTACAGAATTATAAGCAACTTTTTTGTTGCAATAGATTAGAAACCAACAAGCTTTTCAAATGTTAGATGACCAACAAATAAACATGAATTTTAAATAAATTAATAGTACAGAATTATTGCAACCTCAATCATATCTTTATTGAACCCATTCGAAGAAAAGCCCCTTGAATAAATGCATACCTCTGCAAAAACAAAAGGTGCATCAAACTGGAAACAGACATGCCCATGCTTGATGGCTTGAACAGAAGCTGGACCGCACCGATACATGCCTGGATGTGAACAATCAAATTGTGATCCAAGGTCTAAAAGTTGTGCTTTAATCCCGAACCCAACCATCCCCCTGGCTTAGTTACTGTTGACGTCCAATTTTTTAATACCCTCTACTAGATCAGCTGCCAGCCTGAGACCATGGCAAACAGCAACAGCTTTGAAAAGTTGCACAATTAATACAAAGTCAATATGAATCACATTTACAGGCATTTGTTAGAATACTTTGACAGCCATATACTGATATGCTAATATTTGTCTTTCCCAAAGAGCAAAACTAAATTCTCATTACACATACATGATCTCTAAGATATATTTACATCCTGAAAAAAAAATGCTCAGGTCATAGATGCATTTAATTTACATGATAACTGATTTTCTTTCTTTTCTTTCTTTCTTATTCAAAGTTCTGCAGGAAGCTAGTACTAGTTACCCATTCAACAGGCAAAAACTAACACAAGTGACAGCTAGGGCATAAGCTAGTTTAGTAGATTTGGGATTGATGATGTAGTTTGCTCTGCTAGATTAAATGCCATCTAAATAATTTAGCATCGCTGAGGCCATATCCTTAAATATATCTCCAAGGAAGTAAACCTGCTTGACTTCAGTTCTAAATAAGCCCATATAGTTTTTCTCATAGTTGAGACCTGGCCTATCCTTAATTTAGATGTCCGTAACAAGCAACTTTTTTAAAAAACTTACATAAATCCAATTGAAAATAACCTAATCAAATCTAACCAAAAACACTGTTCCTAATATATGTCTCATGAGAGGTGTGAAGACCGATTTATCCCTTTGCTTCAAAATTTATTTCTTAGACATCTATAATCTCAGAAGTTAAACATATCTGCCTCGTTCATACATCACAGACTGGTAGGTTAAGCAAATCCAGGCATGTAGCTGAATTGTTAAATTAGCAGATTTTATTTCTGTTAGAATCTGGGAGATTTAGCTCCCTGATTTTATAGGGAACTTATTTCAGCTAATACAGGGTCCATTTATTGTTTAGATCTAATATTGTTCTACATCAACTATACACTTGCTTTCAAGATTTGCTTCATACTCGAATAATCTGAACATTTACTTAAAAGATACTACACATTTTCAATTTATCCGTCAGTGATGTCCCTTAAAGCACCAAGAAATAAGGAATGTGCACGCAGGTAGTCAGTTGCAGCATTTATCCCAGGTTTATCTACAAGAGAGTTACTCCACCCACAATCTCAAACAAAAGCCACGCCAACAAGGAAATGGAATATTTTTTTTTTGAATGATGCTAAACAAGATATAGGTATGGATATATCTGAAATGACAATGAAAAAAAATGAAAAGGACCTACCACATTTAAGAGTAAATATTAAACCAATAACTGATATACTATTTATAAAGAAGTCAGAGATATGGTGATCTTACCAGGGTTGGTAAATCCAAATTAGAAAAAAGGAAAGGAGACGAGAGGCTTACCATCACTGTTTTCTTGAGGGGTGCTATCTACAGCTTGCCAGCCACCAAAACCAACAGGAAGGTCAGGTCGAGACATCCAAGCTTCATTCCAGCAATGATAGTTCCTGTACATAAGAAAATAACAACAAAGGATTATTCTGGACTCCAGATGTTCTTATAAAGCAGGGGTCCCCAAATTTGACAACTTTAAGACTTGTGGACTTCAACTCCCAGAATTCTCCAGCCAGCTATGCTGGCTGGAGAATTCTGGGAGTTGAAGTCCACAAGTCTTAAAGTTGCCAAGTTTGAAGACCTCTCTTATAAAGATTACTCCCTCTCCCTCTCCCTCTCCTTCTCCCTCCCTCCCTATATCATCTATCTATCTATGACACTCCCAAAAGAATGACAAAATCTTTCTGAACTCATTTTTCATTAATTTCATAAAGTTCTTGTGACCTGACTTTCACGTTTGTTTGTGGGTTTTTTTCCCCTCCCTTCCATAGGTGGAGATTTGGTTCCTTGAAACAATGCTGCTTAGTACTGGTTTGCTGATACGGCGATTCCATTAAAGATAAATTTCATCTTCCACTTACTAACAAATCTTGGCATGTGACTATTTCAGTATATGATAGCCACGTAAAACATCTAGGGCACTCTTCCCCATGCTGGTTAGGAATTCTTAAAATTATAGTCCCAGCAGTTCTGGTATATCTCATGTTAAGCAAGACTATGCTAGAGCATATTGAATCAATTGTCTGCCTTCACTTGGGTTGCAGGAAGAATTTTTATACTATTTCTCCAAACAATGTCCTAAGTGAGGATTAATGTTATGCACTGGGAGTGTTGGTAGTCTCCAGTTGTGCACCACTTCTTAACAATTAAGCTTCTAGTATAGGGGTCTCCAAACCTGGCAACTTTAAGACTTATACACTTCAGCTCCCAGAGTTCACCAGCCAGCATAGCTGGCTGAGGAATTCTGGGAATTGAAGTCCATAATATTGCCAAGTTAGGGGAACTCAGTGCATTATTTTACTATCGTTGCCCAAATGCTTTGATTCTCATACACAAAGAAAAGGGAGAGATCCCTTATCAGGAAGACATAGGAAGTTTCACCTCAATAAACTGTGTGTATTCGGTTTTTAAGAAGAAGGGAAGCATTAGTAAAGAAGGAATACACTAGTAGGGGAAAGCATTATTTCTTCCAACTCTGTAACAGCAAATCATATTTTAAAAATAGCTTGCTCAATAAATAAGATATGAATTGAGAGACTACCCAGTGAGCCGCCTGATACAACCTAGGTATCATATCCCTTTGTGTTAGTTTAAGGAAGGCCTGCTGCATGAGCCATGCCTCTTCCCAAACTTTAAAGCTTCTTCCCAACCTGCACACAACTACTGCGGATTAAAATAACGAGGAGAATTGGCCCTTGAACAGAGTGTCAAAAGGTTCTTTGAAGTGCTGAAGTTCAGACATTGAGAGGAACTGCTGGGATTTGAATCTGGAACTTTCAGATGCAACTTGGAACCCCCTTCAAAAGCTGAAATCGAGGGGTCAGCCTAGCCCTGATCAGGGAGGGCTGAAAAAGTTGTGAAGCTGCAGCTGGGCTGCAACATTTTTTTTCTTTTCTTTTGCAGATGCTTCTGTCTGCCTTTCAATTTTGGCTTTCCCTCTTTGTCCGTTGGTTAATTTTTAAGAGAAACACCACTCTAGCTCAATGCGTTTCTGATTTGCTCAGAATATTTCATAGGAAAAGAGAGACGGCGGCCTTATAAATGGCTTTCCATCGGTTTATTAGCGTAACAGAAAGAGTATAACCATGTTGAGAAAAAGCTGCAAGATGAGCTTCAAGAAATGTTTGAGCTATGACAGAATACCACAGGAGGGGGAAATGCAGCTATTTCCTGTTTAAAAAAATATTCCCTGCCAGTATATAAAAAGCTAATTAGATTATTGAAGTAATTGTAAGTAGCAATATTTCAGCAAATATAAAGTTTGTTAAACTGAGACTATTTAATTAATAATGGGCAGAGGAAGAAAGGAGAACAGCAAGAAATCTGACTCTTGACTAACGAGGCATTTCAAAATAGAAATGAAAGCAGTGATAAGACAGAAAGTTGTCAGTCAGAGAACTGAACAAAGCAAGATGCCAAGGAAAAAAAGGATTTATCCAAAGAAAATGATGCAAACTATTTTATTTAAAATCATAGCTGGGAATGGTGTGATGCTGAATTATTCTCATAGAGCCTTGCTGATGATGGCTAATGGAAAAAATTGCCTAGAGGTGTGAACCTATAAACATGTTCCAGTAAAAAAAGAATATATGTAACTCAGGGTTGAATTGCACAGTCCTTTGACTTTAATGATCAACACAATTCTGTTGTTCCTATTTTGTAGATCTAGGAATGATTTCCTGTTCTTATTTTCCACCCTCAACATTTTGATATCATTTTCCTGCTCATAACTGTAGATTTCATCAAAAATGTGAGAAAAATCAGATAAATTGCCTAATCTTCAACCTATTATTTGCTGTTTATATGTACATTATGAGTTTATGCAAGAGACTTGTGTGTCCGATCATACTTGGTCAATAAAGAATTCTATTCTATTCTATTCTATTCTATTCTATTCTATTCTATTCTATTCTATTCTATTCTATTCTATTCTA